TGATTTTATTTTAAAGCAGAAATAAAAAATAGTTATCAAAACTGCTCGGGTCGAAGAGACTCGTTATAGACAGAATTTTTCTTGCATAGTTTCAATATAAATCCCCAAGTTTACAATTTTCACAAGGCTCATCTACTTAAATTCACTTGCAACTCACCAATTTATATTCTCATAATTGTCAATTTATTTCCATATTTTTCAACAAACCGCCGAAAAAAAAACACTTCCAGCCCATTAGAAACTCGTTTGATGAAATTAAGTCGAGTGGGAGTGAAACAAAAACTAGCATAGTGTGGTTGAAAGAGAGAACGTCGGTCGGTCGTGAGAGAGACAATATAATCCGCCCACGAGCGGCGTCGGCGGCACCATAACTTAATAAAAAGCCCGTCCGTTCGTCCCTTCGTACGTCTGTCGAAGTGTTGATGTGTGTTCTCTGCTCACTCGGGTCACAGGGTCGACGACCTCACTCTCACTACTCTTCTCTCTCACTTTTCACGGGCGCGTTGGTTGCTTCTTCTAATTACACGCACCATTATGGAGGTTCACAAAAGCCTCTCTCGTGGGTGTGCGCGCCGTACAAAGTGTGTGTACCATGCGTGCTGTGTAATATCAAAGGCCGCAGAGGACCCGTTCATTTTGACGGTGGTGTGTGAATATTAATCGAAAGCAAATTGGCTTTAAGCACAGCAGTAGCGTGAACAAACTGCAATTACCAACGCTAATATCTGTTCCAAATAATTGCTCGGCACTGTATGGGCGGAATGCTCGTTTTGCAAATGTAATTAAACCGAATTTCAAGGTCAATTCCAACATGCTGGCGAGGTGCCAAATGCGTGTGGTTTCATAATTGAATGTGACTAAAATATCTTCTTTGATGTTGTAACAAAAAAATTTAAGCTAGAGCAAAACAATCCTGTTTATGGAAGGATTTAACAACTTGAAAAATATACCAAAGGATTTTAAAAGTATAAATTCATATTGGTATTCATATCATTTCCAAAGGTGGAAAATTTAATAAGTTTAGCTATGATTAATTCCAACATTTGAGCTTTTTGGGAATTAGCTTTGATTTCTATGAGAATTTCCTTAAAAGGATTTCTATAAAAAAATCTGAGCTATTGACAGTATTCAAAATTTCATCAAATCAACTTGGCATAAACCCAATTAGAGGAAAAATAAAATTATGTTTAATTAATTGCTTGGATTTATAAGTAAAAAAGAGATTGCAGTTTACCCACGAGGCAAATTAAAAAAATTTCATAATAAAATTTATGCTTGATTGAAAGAAATGCAAACAGTTAAAAATAAAGAACATTTTGGCGATCTGATATTATGATATATTTCTTCAATATATCTAGTTCATCTTTTTTTAGTTTATGGGTCGCTGTTGGCTGTTCCAAATGTCATAGCAAAGAAGATGCATCTGCCATGTGACATCAGCAGTCAGCTTCTCTTTTGAATAACCGAGCGACATTTAAAAGAAACACATTTCGGTCACTGAGAGTAAAAAAATTACACAGAATTTTTATTTTTAGTCACATTAAGAGATTTTTATACCTTTAGTAAGCATTTCTCTTGTGTATTGAAGGAGAGTGCAAACATTTTTTGCCCGGGTCCATTAATCAACACTAGATGAATTGACGCCGGGTGCAGAAGGATCACTCTGGGGGCCATCGGCGAAAATCATCCCCTCTTTTTCAAACCGATCAGAGTTTTGAGAGCAAACGTATTTCGCCCGCTACACCGGGGAGATAACGGCCTGGCGAAATCGACAATGCATCTGCCCGTGACATCGAATTTATTTATTTGCCCGGCAATAAAAACGCCATTGTCTCGCGGAGAGCAAACCCAGGTCCATCAATCACTCTCGGGACCCACCCATTTTCAATCGAAATACATCGACCCGTAGATTAAAAAGCATATTTCGATTTTCATCAGAATGCCTGAAGGTAATTTAAACACATTTCCGAGTGATTTGTGACCCGGGCCGTCGTGCAATAAAATTTGTGTATAAAACTGCATCTCTCAGGGGAGTCGTGTTATTTTTGATCATTCAAATTTCGGGCGTGTATTATTCCCATGTATAAAACCGAAAGGCTGAACTCACGCATTTTCGGCTGCGTAGTATAAAATGTTGTGCAAGCCCATAAAGCCACAGTTTCTATTTCGAGTGCGGAGCTATTTTCGGTACGCGATATGCAAATGATGGCCAGGAGAGAGAGAAAGAGAGGGATTGACGTGCGGGAATTTTATATTTAAACCCCTTTCACTCGCGCGAACAATGGGTGAAAAACTGGTCCTGCAGGAGACACGAGTGCACGTGTGGACACGTGGTTGCCAGGAGCATTTTTATAAGGAGAACGGCCTGCATTCAAAACCACGCAGCTTTTTTCGAGCCATCCGGCCCTGCAGCTTTTGAATTTCGACGAGTTTCATTCTCTCTCTTCGATTACTCTTGCCGCTTGTAATTACAGCCTGCGCACTGAGCGCGTCAAATCCGATTTATCATCTCCGTTGCACTCACTGGAATAATGCTGGATTTTCGTCAGCTATCATTTTTCAGCCGTCATGCTTGCGGAAAAGGATGTTCTTCTCTCGCTTCACTTCCCTCGTGGAACTTTTCCAATTTTTATCTCCGAGTTTCACTTTTCTGTGCACGAACTTTGTATTCTTAATTCAGTCTGGCAGCGTGTGAGTTAGAAATCCGCATTGGATGTCTGCTCCGAAGAAAAGCAACGGGTATTAAACTTTAAAAACGCAAACGAACAGTGCAGATAATTTCTTTCCTTCGCGTGTTTTTGTTTCGTTTGTTCGTATGATAATTTTTGTTAGAGATAAAGAGGAGTGTGTAATTTCAAGAGAGAAAATAAAGCAGTAAAAGTTAAAAGTCGCGCGTCGACCTTCGTGTAAAAAAAAAAAGAATTTTCAAAACGTGTTAAAATAACGAACATACTTTTTTTCAAGCTGACGTTAAATTTTTAAGAATTAATGATTACGAAAAAAACAAAAAACAAAATTGTATTGCTTATAAATCCTTATTACATGAATGCTCTTTTTTCAAATTACTCTGAGAAATCTTAAAAAAATTTCAAATAATCTATTTGATGGAAGATTGGCTACTCAATTTTGGGCCGTCTCTATTAAATTTTCTTAAAACTCATGTCAAATTAGATATTTTATTATTGATCTTGCATAAAAGTGAAAATCACTTCAAAGTACCCTCCGAAATTTTATTATTTTTTCTCTTTGAGAATTTGAGCACATATGGCGAACAGGATGACTCAATCAATGCCCTTGATCAAAGCATGAGCACGAACTAATTAAGACCCTTTTGTTGTACAAAATGCACATGCAGCTGGATACGTATTAAAAAGGGTTGTTCACTTCTCTTGAGCGAATCAAAATTAATCAAATTCCCTTTCAAATCTCTCGCTCTCATCCTGCCACGTAATATCAGAATAATAGCAAACGAGATGAGATTGCGATAAAACGCGTTCCACGACTCTCTCGGCCGGGGCTCAAAGGAATGGATTCATTCACGTAACGATCAGCTGTGTGTGTGTTTTTAAATCCGTTTTACATAAAAGCGAGATCTAGAAAAAGCATCTATGCGGCAGCTGCTCCTCGGGGGCAGATTGGTTATGCATGAACCTCGAAAAGCACTCTTGCCGGAATAAAAACAAACAAACACTGAAAAATTGAAACCAGGCTTAACCTCCGTGAAAAAAGTAAAAAACAAAAAGAAAATAAAGTGACCCGAAAGCAGACCACAGGTCTCTTTTTTATTTTGACATAAAATCCAAAATAAGAGCTAAATTTTTTATATAAAATTCACATTTGAAAAACAAAAGTGCTTTCGGATTAAAATTAAAACACATAATCTATATTTGAATGGAGCAGAGAACTGACAAGCGGATGATTGGCTGCTGTTGCAGCAGTGGCCGCTTTTATTGATCTTGCGGGTATATTTTTGTTTATATACACTCTGTGGCAAAAACAATGCAGACGGCCGGTTGTTTGTCATTCATTTCCAGTAGCACTCTTTCTCATTCAGCCGCGTTGAAAACCTCCAAGTGAGTGTGCGGTTGAGTGCATTGTCCTCCTTTGTCAAATGCTTTTTTCAAATAGCCATGTGAATTGAATAACGCTTTGATATGCTTCAACTGCCTTCATACATTTAAACCAACGTAATTGAGCGTCGTCCTGGTTCACATGCATTTTATGTAAATCGAATAAGGTAATTGCGCATCCACTGGTTGCAAAAATGCGCATGTATTTATATGAAAATGTTTTCAAAATAAAGTTTTCTGTCAGCTTACAAGTCATAAATTAAGTTTTTAATAATAAGAAGCTTATATTTGTTTCTTTTTTTAATTTCAAATATACTTGCAAAATTTTTGAAAAATCGTTATTACTAAAAAAGGGGCTAAATAATATTATAAAATACAAGAAAAGGCCTATTTTTAAAATATCTCCCGGAGTGCTTGAAATTTTATAAATTAGAACTAAATTAAAAGTACTGATATTAATCTATAGCTACAAAATTCTACTTCATATTAGCAATATATAGTGTGAAGACTGATTTTCATTTATGCTGATGTTGATAACATATTATTCAACTTCGGTCGATTTCCAAAACAGATATTAACTTTTTTCCAATCTACACCTAATTTTTGTAAAACCATGAAATTGTATAAGGATAAAAGTTAGTCTTATTATATAGTTAAAATGAAATTAAAATCATTTAAAAGATAGGCAACAAAAGCGTCCTCTGTGTAGTAATGTTGCCTAACTTGCAGGCGTCCGGACAAAACCCAATTTTTTCCCGAAAAATCCGAAAAAAAAGAATAAGTCTCGATGAAGTGTCATAATCAGATTTGATTTCAAAATATAATGAACTTCTCTCCCCAATATTAAAATAAACATTTTTTCTAAAGGCTATAACCACTCAAAAGAATATCAGAAAAGTGCCCCACTTCTGATGTTGCAAATCTCCTTACCTGGGAAAAGAGCATCCATGAGGGCAAGTTCAGCGTTAAATCCGGTAAGCTTAGGAAAAGTCCACGACCTCTGGAGTTACGTGAACGGATTGAGTCTTGCGAGAGTCACGTGTGGCGAGCACGAGCGGCGAGAGGAGCTCGCGAGAGAGTTGGCCTGCGCTCCGCGGCTCTGCTTCGCTACTGAAAGTACCGAGCGCCGAAGAGAGAGCAGTGCTGCTCTTCCGAGTGACTCACTAAACCCGAGAACTCCCCTGCCCGCTCCCGGGCAACGCCGGGTAGCCATGGCAACCCGCGCAGCACGCACTGCGACCCGAGGAGCGCGTACGCCAGCCAGCCAGGGGGGCCACACCGCCGTCCTTTCCCATTGAGTGCACGCTAATTGCCGTGCGCCTCCTCGGCGGCGGCGTCGTCAACCGGGCGCACTTGCCAAAATTTCGCGTACGACACAAAAAGAAGAAGAAGCGCACTTGACACACTCACACACCGCGCTTGTTTGCTTTGCATACCCATTCAATTTACTTAATGGACTTTATTTTCATGCAGTGTTTAAGACAGGAAATTGGAAATTCTGGTGCAAATAAAAGCTTTTTGTAAAAAAGATTTCTTGAAAATCTTAAAAATAAGTAATTAAGTGAATGCAAACAATTTTTTAAAAATAGTTAAGCTATTAAAATATTATTTAAAAATTTTTTAATGTTTTCATTCATTAAAATTTTTGTAAAAATATAACCTAACCAAATTTAAACATTATAATATATTTATATATAATTTTTGTTTTATTTACATTTTATAAATAAACAAAATTATAATCTTTTAAATCATTACAAAAGAACAACATAAAAGATTGATGTTCCATGATTTTTAAGATATTAAATAATTTTTAGACAAGTTAATTAAATACAAGAAAGTTTATTTTGCAGTAAAACATTTGTTCTCACATCAGATCTCTTCATTTTAATATTTAATAACTTTCTTTGATTGTCATAAATCAAAATGCTCTCTTGGAATCGATGTAATTTATAATAATTGAATGTATGGATCGGTATGGATGATGTATTTGGGTAGAGAATGCCCAGTGATACATTAATAAACACAATTGTTTGCAACTAAATGCAGTCTCATGGAGTGATTGGTGGTGATAATTAAATATAAGCAATAAGCTTAAAAGTTGGTTGTTATACAAATGGACTCTAAAATGTGGATGCATAAAATATTTGTATTGGATTAAGATTTTCAAGAAGTATGCTTTATTTATTTTAAGAAAAAATTTATTAAATTTAACATACGTTACCGTTTATCTCAACACTAGAATCTCAACATCATTAAAAATATCAGTTATTAATTTAGCAATAAAAATTCCAATCTGTAGGACTCAGTAGGACTGTGAAATCATGGTTGTTTAATTCAAGGAAATTGATTTAAAATTGCTATAAAAATAAGTTTAGGCTCATAAAGTATAACAGTCTCAATCAGCTACCTCTAAATTTTAAGGTGGATGTTTCCAAAAATTAAATTTCAGATAGTTCATACTTAAAATAAATTATGAATGTAAAAAAACGCAAATTATGTGTCTCAATATTCAGTCAGAATCTTAAAAAACCCAGATGGACATAATAAGCAGGATAAAAAAAATTATTTGTTTATCCAATTAGCTAATTGCGCGCAGAATCAAAAAGTGAACCACTTCTTTCATGATTATCAGATAATGAAATAGCACGCGACCGAGGTTTATTCTGAGGAGCACGCGAAGTGATTTAAGGACTGTGTCAACCCGGAGCAGAGAAGAATTGCGTAACACTTGGTCTATATAATTCTCTGACTCTTGAGAGGCAATAAAGGCAACTGCGGGGTAGGTACGTGACGAACCAACTTGCACTTTCGCTCACAAGAGGGAAATAAATGCGGTAGGCGCGCGACATAAAATCACTTTGGTCGTTTTATTCGCGAGCGAGATATTTCACGCCGACATCCGCTTTTCGCCCCCAGGCCTTGCCCTAAATTTGCTGTGCGAATTTTTTTCGTTTAAAAAGCGTTCAGCAGACGAGCAGATAAATTTGCTCCTCGCGTGCCAGCAAAAAGTGCAGAGGAGATAATAAAGCCGGCAATGCGAACCGCATGCCCAATTTTGTCGCGTGAAAATCCTTTGCTGACCTCGAGCATGTTATTTTTTTTTTGTCATATAAGGGATGAAATACTGTCCTGTGCTGTGGTAAGAGCAATTGCGGGCGATATGGGAAATCTTAAATTACACACGAAAAGTCGGGCACAAAGGAAAAAGGCATTCTGCCAGACTGTAGAGACAGAAGGGACGGCGGCCAATATTGAAGCAGCGACTTCGCCTCCACCATGGATGGATAAGTCGACGCCGAAAAGTATTATATGGAGTACAGCTTGTTGCCAACAGACAATGCGGCATTTTTGCAGACCGAAATGCTGAACCGTGTCCGCGCGCAATTAAAGTCGAAGCGCAGACAAGAATCACTCAGAATAAATTAAAAGCGCCGGAAGAAGAATATTTGCAAAGAGGAAAATGCACTATACAGTTGAAAGTTGCAAAAGAACTTCAATGCAAAGAGAGAACCAGACCAATAGTCTTGCAACTTCAATTGTGAAAATGTGGAATCAGATCGTAGTTTGTCTTAAAATTATTTTTTCACAATATTAAATAAGAATTAAATATTATAAGTAGCTCAAATGGGTATAAATAGTTATTAAAACAAAATTTTAAAAACAAATTTAAAAAAAGTAATAATAATAATTAACAAAATAATAATCTCAATGATAATATTAAAAAACATTTAATTATTAATTTTTGTATACATTTAATTTAATTATTTTTTTCTCAAATATTATTGTAATTTTGTCATTGTAAATTTTTTCCATCTCGGTTTTTGCTCTGTATAAGGTTCTTAAGCATGAATGCTTTGCTTTTTTTATTTATATAATAAGATAAAAACAAATTGTAATTGAATGAAAGATCTATAGAAAAATGAACTAGGGGCAGGCTTGAAAAGCTTTAAAAGTTTTCTCAAAATATATTAAACACTTTCTATAAACCTCAGTACATTTATATTTTTATAGGTATTGTATTCTCCATAATTTTAATTGAATTAGACATATCATTCAAAAGGCATTTTCGTTCAAATAAAATAGCTCCACGAGGTTTTGTAAATCCTGTGTAGTTGATCTTTTCATAACTTACTTGCGTTGTAAGATCCTCGCTGACTTGCTGAGGCTGGAATAAAGGCAGCGGCAACCTTTGATATTACGCAGCGCCTTAATGTGCCTGCAGAAATGAAATATGATCAATAAAGGCTAATAATACGCAGTCGACCATGCATCAAAATATATATTCAGTTTCAGCTAGCGTCTGCACTCACCCTTATATTCCGCCCACGCCCTCATGAGGAAGTGCGGTGCGTGCTTCCTTTTCTCCCCCTAAGCTTTAAAAACATTAATTCTCTCATATTTTGTGGGAGCGACATCAACACCTTGGCTCCGAGACGGCGAAATTGCGTTTCCCCTCATACTATCTATTTTCTTAAAGGAATTCATGTGAACCATATTTTTCGTATATACAAAATTAATATAAATCGCATGAAACTAAATTGAATGCGTAGCATCTAGAAATTTCATTTTTCTTTCTGATTATTGTTTGTAAAATTAAAGAAATGCAATTGTTTAAAAATTGATTCAAAACTTCAATGGTCAAACAACAACGTTTGAAAACACAGAAGTAATTTAATAACCATTTCCTGTGGTGTTCGCTCGCATGTTTGTGATTTATGTAAATAATTTATTTCAATTTATGCCGCCGGTGAGTAGCCAAGCAGCACGTTTCGGCGCACAAAACGACAGTCATTACTATTCAGGTGCACGCACACCCAAACAAAACACCCACGGCAGAGAGAGCAGCCGCCGGATAATTTATTGAGGAGCACGTCAAAAACGAAAGGACATCTGCCCCAAAGCCACCCCTCTGGTTCAGCTGCAGGCCAGACAGTTAGCCCCGAATGTTCATATAGATCTCGATGCATCCACACCCCGGTCGGAAGAAAAAGTCAATATCATCGCATGTAATTACTTCTGTTTGTCACTCACTGAGAAACCGCAGTTGGCTCCTGTTTTACACGCGCTATTTTTAACACAAGGGGCAGCATACAGATCGTCTGTACCATATTAAAAAATGACGTCAGTTGAAGTATTCGTTAATGTTTTTTTTTTTTTTTTTTTTTGTCAAGGATGACAGTTTTAATAAAAAAATTGTTTGGAATTAACTAGTATAGTGTGTATGCAGCCCTTTATTTGGAGAAACAAATTTGATGAAATTTTCGTTTTATGTAATTAATAGAGAACTGCAACTGGTCATGCTTTTTTACATAAAATTTAATGAGGAAGAGTCCACTTCTTTATTTCAACACGATGAGAGCAACACTGGTGAAAATTTCTTCAATTGAATAAATTTTTATTCCGAGTATTATTTATTGCAATGTTATAATTAATTGGGAAAAATCTCATTTTAAATTTACATCGACCTCGAGATCCAATTGGAATTGATTCAGAACACATTGAGCTGAGAGATTCATTGAAAACTACGATGCATAAAAATTTCATATCTTTTTGACAAAAGTAATACCTGAAGTTAAACTATTTTAATTAATTAATAAAATTATTTTGCAGCTTTTATTAATGAAGTAAAGTAAAATTAATATTAAATTAATAAAAGTAAATTAAATTATAAAAATATTTATAATTATTGTAATAATAGAATGGTTCAATTTCCATAAATTTATCATTTTCATGAACTATGTTAAAATATAAATGTATTAATTTATTCGAGAGTTTAAATTTTTTTGAAACAAATTTGAAATTAACGCTGACCTGGTTCAAAAATCGTACGGAACTGGTGCAGAACCGGGTCTAGTTGTCCGGCATCAGTTCTACACCATTTATGCACCAGTTTGGAAGCAGATCTGAACCAGGGGTCTAATTCTGTCAGATAGAATGGTTCAATTTCCATAAAATATAATTTTCATGGATGCATATTAATATATAAATAAATATTTTTATTAAATTTTTTCAAGAATTTAAAATTTTTGTATCAAATTTGGAATTATTGCAGACCTGGTTCAAAAATCGTACGGAACTGGTGCAGAACCGGGTCTACACCAAAGCTTAGAGCTGTCACCGCTCTAGTGTAACGTTATGGGAAATTTCTTAGAGCGGTGGCCGCTCTAGTGTAACGTTATGGGCTTTTTCTTAGAGCGCTGGCAGCTCTAGTGTAACGTTATGGGTTTTTCCTTAGAGCGGTGGCTGCTCTAAGCTTAGAGCGGTGGCAGCTCTAGTGTAGAGAGTTCACTGCTCCAGTTCGCGCGGCTACAGGCCTGGAGATCGTTGGGTGTAGTTGTCCGGCATCAGTTCTACACCATTTATGCACCAGTTCGGAAGCAGATCTGAACCAGGGGTCTTATTCTGTCAGATAGAATGGTTCAATTTCCATAAAATATCATGGATGCATATTAATATATAAATAAATATTTTTATTAAATTTTTTTGTATCAAATTTGGAATTTTTGCAGACCTGGTTCAAAAATCGTACGGAACTGGTGCAGAACCGGGTCTAGTTGTCCGGCATCAGTTCTACACCATTTATGCACCAGTTCGGAAGCAGATCTGAACCAGGGGTCTTATTCTGTCAGATAGAATGGTTCAATTTCCATAAAATATAATTTTCATGGATGCATATTAATATATAAATAAATATTTTTATTAAATTTTTTCAAGAATTTAAATTTTTTTGTATCAAATTTGGAATTTTTGCAGACCTGGTTCAAAAATCGTACGGAACTGGTGCAGAACCGGGTCTAGCTGTCAGGCATCAGTTCTACACCATTTATGCACCAGTTCGGAAGCATATCTGAACCAGGGGTCTAATTCTGTCAGATAGAAGTAATAAACAATATATATTAAAAAAAAAATGCATTTTAATTATGAAAAAATCCATTTTGAAGATGTCCGTTATATTTTTAAATTATCTTTATTTAATAAATCTACATTGGATTAATTCAATCTAATATTTTTTCGGTCTATCTTATATAACGCAAATCACAAAACGGATTTTTGCACTCAAAGCAAAATGTGATGCACATTAATGCAACTGTCAAGCTTAAGTTGAAGAGTAAACAAAGCGTATTTATGGTTTCTTGGCACCATTGGCGTGGCACATATGATTCATAATTCGTTATAACACCTGCTCCATTATGGCAGTGCCAATCTTCTCAATTTTCTAATAATAACCGATACGAGGAGATTTATCCCAGTTACACAACACCTTAATCTGAGCGATGCCCAACAAAAGAAATACACCTACGCGGGCACTTTTTCTCTCGATCGCACCCTGCTGCACGCTAAGCATTTTTAGCGCTGCATCGAAAGGGATTTCGACTAATTAACAGTGATGCGAGCTGGGTGGTATAAAAGCTGGTCAACCGTGCTCGTTGATATCATTGAGCTCAAACGAAACGCACCCTCGACTCACCGAGCAGAAGAACCGCAGCCGAGCGCAATGGCCTATTTAACGAGCACGTTTGATGCCAACATCACCAATAGGATGATCCGACCTGCATTTTACAGGTAACATTAAAAGGATTATTTTCCACTGATGATTTTTGTTTCTTTTTTTTAATTTAAAAATAAATAATTTTTAGACCTAAATCCAAATAATTATTTGTTGATAAATTGAAATCAATATCGATCAGGAAAAATTATTTAAATTTAAATTGTAGTTTTTTGCAATGAATAATAATAGTTTTTATATGATTTCATTGTTTGAAGTTCTGGCGAGAAAATGCTGGGTTGGGATGTGCCCGTGAACAACATTGACGAAATCCCGAAACACTGGCTCTCTTTTCCTGTCGTCGACACCTACCTGCACTACGGCATCGCCATAATTTACGTATTCCTCATGATCATGTCACTTTTTGGAAACGGGATGGTTATTTGGATCTTTATAACGTGAGTTTTCTATTATTACGTAATAAAATTTGTACATTTTTTTCATACATTGACTTAAAATTAATTTTTAGAACAAAATCATTGCGATCGGCGTCCAACTTTTTCGTCGTTAATTTGGCCATTGCCGATTTCATCATGATGCTCAAGGCGCCGATTTTCATTTACAACTCCATGTTCGAGGGGTACGCGCTAGGAAAGTTTTGGTGTCAAGTTTTCGCAACAATGGGATCCTATTCCGGGATCGTGCAGGCCCTGACCAATCTTTGCATTGCTTACGACAGATACAGGTATGTCCTTAAAATATTCAATTAAAATTCATATCATTAATATAAAATTAAAAAATGTCTATTAATATAAAATTTTAAATTTGACAGAAATATCTCGAGCCCTATGGACGGGCAAATGAAAAAATTGAATGCTATTATTTTTGTCATCTTGACTTGGGCTTACGCCACTCCCTGGACTTTGATGCCCCTTTTGGAAGTCTGGAGCCGATTCGTTCCGGGTTTGTCAAAAAATTTAATGCAAAATTTATTACTTATTTCTTTTGCCTATTTGAATAACAGAGGGATATTTGACCAGCTGCACATTTGATTATTTGACTGATACCTTCGAAAACAAACTTTTCGTTTTCTTTATTTTTATCTTCGCCTACGTCATCCCCATGAGTCTCATCATTTTCTTCTACTCACAGATCGTCTCTCAGGTTTTCAACCACGAAAAAGCCCTGAGGGCGCAGGTAAAACTAAAATTCCGAAAATTAAATTTAGTTGAATTACATATTTTTTCCCTTTAATTTAAGGCCAAGAAAATGAATGTTGAATCTCTGAGGAGTGGCGACCAAGCAGCAGTTTCCGCCGAAGTGCGAATTGCGAAAACCGCCATAAGCATTTGCGGATTATTTGTTGCCTCCTGGACTCCTTACGCTGTCGCCGCTTTGATCGGTTCTTTTGGAGACAAGTGATTATTTTAATAATAAAAGATTTCCTCTGAAATATATCCCAAATCAAATATTTTAGAGAACTTCTAACGCCTTCCGTTTCGATGATCCCTGCCATCTGCTGCAAATTGGTGGCCTGCTTTGACCCCTACGTCTACGCTATCAGCCATCCAAAGTTTAGGTAAATATCTAAACACCCCATTTTTAAAATAGGTTGAACACAATCTGTCAATATTTGCACACAGGCTTGAACTTCAGGCCCGTTTCAGCTGCCTCAAAATTAATGAAAAAGCCCCAGAAAAAAGCGACGCCGCCACAGCCAACGCCACTGTTTCTACATGAGCTGGCTGGTGCTTTTTTTTATAAAAACGCATCTTAGATTTTAAAAATTGTGTACTTTTAAAATGCAATTATTTACAGATGTATCGTCCTTTATGTTTGCAATAAAATGATTCACAATAAAGCGAAGCAAAATCAACAACCTTTTCTTTCTTGCATAAAAAAACCTTAAGTTTAACACAATTTTGGTATAGCTCAAATAAACAATTTGATATTTATCATTTTAAAGAAAAATTTAAGTCTGCAAAACTTTGAACGGAAAAATTAAGGCGAAAGAGAAATAATATTTATCTCAGCCTGAATAATAATAAAAAACCTATGCATGGAATAAGTATTTGAAAAAAACAAACAGAGCCGATCGAACATGCGCCCACTCAAAAATATTGGTAACGTTTGATTAATTCGGACCTCAGAGGGGCTTTCCCCATGAATTAAAAGAATATATCCAAACGTAAAATAGACTTTATAAATAAAACTTCCCATTGAGTTAAATAAAAACATAGGAATTAAACTTAATTGTCTTCATAGTAATTTACATATTATAAAATAGATTAAAAATAAAATATATATAAAACAATAATTTTTTTATTGACATTTGAATTATAAATTTTTATTTTTACCATTTAAAATTTTTCTTTTAATTTATTTTTTTAATTTTTTGTTATAATCTAGTTCCATCCATCAAATACAAGTATCAATGATCTCAGTAATATTATAATATATTTTTTTTTCAAATAATTTTAAATACAAAAGTACTTTGACTAAAGACAATAAATTATAGAGGCTATTCAAATCCAAATCAAATTTTTTTTAATATTTTAGCCATAAATAAGGTTTTATTGGTTTTGAGAATGTTATTTTTCCATTGATATGAATAAGAAAATATAATTATGGAAGTAGTATTAAATTATTTTCTTACTGGAATAAGGATTCTATAATTTTATAAATGCAAAGAAATGACAATTTTTTAAATAGCATCAACATTACAGTAAATAGAGCTTCATTATAATTATTATTAGCTGGGGGAAGCTCTCGCCCTTTGAACTTTGTCCAACTCGATTTCAATATAATTTATTTGCAGCCCTTACTATTATTTAATTAATGCATTTTTTGTACAACATAAGGACAAAATTTAAGTGTTCCTTTAAAATTTAGTCTAATCAATAAATGTCTTGCAAAATTCAATTAGCGAAAGAGAGTGAAATAGTTGTAAATGACAAAAAAATTCTCCGTATATCCAATAAAATGAGGAGCGATTTTTGTTAGTCCTAGACCTGTACTCAACGACAAAATTTATCGTGAGACCTCTTTATTATGGTTTCTTCATGACCTCCGTTGCAATAAAATATAATGCAATAAAATTATTGTAAAGAGCTATTTGCACGTTGAGATATTTCTTTAAATACTATTTTGCTGAAATACTGACGATAGTGTATACTCTGCTTTGCTTCCACCTATGTGAAAATTGACCGATTTGATCATCAAAACTGCTTGCAGCCATATTAAATATGATATTATTGAGTTCATGCACATATTCACCCCACAATATTATGCATTTTTAGCGCTGCATCGAAAGGAATTCCGCTAAATTAATACCCCTTCGAGCACTCGGAATGGTATATAAGGTGCCGCCGCGGGTAGGTGAATTCATTGGGTTCGAACCGAACTCACCCTCAACACACCAACGGCAGACGCAGACAGTGCAGACGAACATCATGGCTTTTCCGAGAAGCTACCTCGAACCCAACCTTACAAATGGGTTGATCCGACCTGAATACAGGTACTAAATCTAATTTCAGCGAGTTTTAAAATTAGTAACACGAATTAATTTTTTAGCTTATATTGAACTATATATGTTATCATTTTGTTTCAAATCAAACAATTAAATACAATTATCACTCCTGAAAGTATTGCATGAATAATTTTCCTCAGCGAAAAAGGGTAAATAAGATTGGTTTAGTTTTTTCCTTCTAAAATTATTAATAATAACTTTATTATAAATTATGCAGCAAACATTTTTAAGCCATTTTCTTATGTCTTAATTAGCTGATCTTATTTCAACAAACTCGAATAATAGTTTCAACGCTGCTTGAAAATTTCTTTATATATGATTTTTCAATTTTCATGTCATTTAAAAATTTTTTGGAATAAAAAAAATTTGTTGTTCTTTTTAGGTCCGACATGAAAATGATGGCCTGGGACGTTCCTTTAAACGCAATAGATGAAATTCCAAAGCACTGGCTCACATTTCCCGCCCCCGAAAGTTACCTCCATCAAATTATCGCAGTGATTTACGTCTTCTTCATGATCTTCTCGCTAGTTGGAAACGGAATGGTCATCTGGATCTTCGGAGTGTAAGTTTTGGAATTTTCACTCTGAATATGATTTTGATTTTTTTTGAGAATTAGATCAAAATCCCTGCGCTCGGCATCCAACATGTTCGTCGTCAACTTGGCCATCGCTGATTTTGGCATGATGCTGAAGTCTCCGATCGTCATCTACAACTCACTTTATGAAGGATACGCGCTCGGAAAGTGGGGATGTCAAGTTTTTGGAATTATGGGATCGTACACTGGAATTGTTCAAGCCACGACTAATCTTTGCATAGCATACGACAGATACAGGTCCTTTTTTTTATTTTTAAATTAAAAAAAAGACCTTGACAAATATTTTTCAGAAATATCTCAAATCCCATGGATGGACAAATGAGCAAGAAGAAGGCTTTCTTCTTCATTCTGTTGACCTGGGCGTACGCTACCCCCTGGACCCTGATGCCCTTCTTTGAATACTGGGGCCGATTCGTTCCTGGTTTTTGAAAAATCGCATGAAAAATACTCAAAACTTATTTCTTCAATTAAATTACAGAGGGCTACCTGACCACATGCAGTTTTGACTTTTTGACCGAGACGATCGACAACAAACTTTTTGTTTTCTTCATCTTTACTTTCTCCTACGTCTTCCCCATGTCATTCATCATTTTCTTCTATTCGCAGATTGTTTCTCAGGTTTTCAATCACGAAAAAGCCTTGAGGAAACAGGTAAATTTATATCAGCATAAAATCCGATAAAATAGAGTTAATTTTGTTATCGCAACAAGGCCAAGAAAATGAATGTTGAATCTCTGAGAAGTGGAGACAAAGCAGCCGTATCTGCCGAAGTTAGGATCGCAAAGACTGCGATTAGCATTTGCGGGCTATTTATTGCCTCCTGGACTCCCTACGCCGTAATTGCAATGATCGGCGCTTTTGGAAACCAGTAATGAACTGAGGCATAACATATTTAAGTGCAATTAATTATGATCTCAAATTCCCAGAGCTTTGATAACGCCTACCGTTTCTATGATCCCTGCTCTCACCTGCAAAATCGTGGCTTGCCTCGACCCATATGTTTATGCTATCAGTCACCCCAAGTACAGGTAAGCGTCTAAATAATTGATTGCAGATTTTCAGCTCATTAACTTGATTTAAATTTTAAATAGACTTGAACTGCAGTCCCGTTGCGCCTGCCTCAACATTAAAGAAGAGGCTCCTGAAAAGGCCGACACTTCAGCCGCCGCCGCCACCGTTGCCGCGTGAGCTGGCTGAAAAATCTTGCCTGTGGGATCTGATATTTTTAAAATGGACTGCTGTGGTTTTATGACTTTTACTTACTGTTTAGAAAATAGTAAAAAACGAATAAAGTTTAATGCATCTCGAAAAATGGAACAAAAAGAAATTTCAACTAACATCCAACAGTGACGTAAAAAAAAAAATAATAAAATAATAAACTACCACACATATGGCAAGTGCGGCTATAGCTGCTTAAAGGTTCAATGATATCATCCAAAGCTAAATTAGTATGAGAACTGAATATTCCTAAAAATTAAAAAAAAAAAAAAATTATCTGCAGTTAATTAAAATGATATCTATAAAAATATAATTCCAAACAATACTGAAATCTCCTGATCAGATCAATCCTTCGTGAACGACATTTTAGAAAAAATGGCAGTACGGAAATCGCGACTGTGGCCCTGATCAGGACAATCCATTAAAGACCCGGTTTTACAAAATTTGGTATCACGAAAATCAGGATTGTAATCCTGACTAGGAAAATCCGTCGTAAACGACATCTATGAAAATATGGCAGTACGGAAATCACGACTGTATATAGCCCTGATAAGGATAATACATTGTAGGCTATATACAGTCCTGATTTCAGTGATGCCATATTTTTGAAAACCGGGTCTACAATGTATTATCCTTATCAGGGCTATATACAGTCCTGATTTCAGTGATGCCATATTTTTGAAAACCGGGTCTACATTGTATTGTCCTTATCAGGGCTATGTAAGTCGTGATTTCCGTACCGCCATGTTTTCAAAAATGTCGTTCACGAAGGATTGTACTGATCAGGAGATTTCAGTCCTGATTTCAGTGATGCCATATTTTTGAAAACCGGGTCTACAATGTTTTGTCCTTATCAGGGCTATATACAGTCCTGATTTCAGTGATGCCATATTTTTGAAAACCGGGTCTACAATGTTTTGTCCTTATCAGGGCTATATACAGTCCTGATTTCAGTGATGCCGTATTTTTGAAAACCGGGTCTACAATGTATTATCCTAATCAGGGCTATATACAGTCCAGATTTCAGTGATGCAATATTTTTGAAAACCGGGTCTACAATGTTTTGTCCTTATCAGGGCTATATACAGTCCTGATTTCAGTGATGCCATATTTTTGAAAACCGGGTCTACAATGTGTTGTCCTTATCAGGGCTATATACAGTCCTGATTTCAGTGATGCCATATTTTTGAAAACCGGGTCTACAATGTATTATCCTTATCAGGGCTATATACAGTCCTGATTTCAGTGATGCCATATTTTTGAAAACCGGGTCTACATTGTATTGTCCTTATCAGGGCTATGTAAGTCGTGATTTCCGTACCGCCATGTTTTCAAAAATGTCGTTCACGAAGGATTGTACTGATCAGGAGATTTTAGTCCTGATTTCAGTGATGCCATATTTTTGAAAACCGGGTCTACAATGTATTGTCCTTATCAGGGCTATATACAGTCCTGATTTCAGTGATGCCATATTTTTGAAAACCGGGTCTACAATGTTTTGTCCTTATCAGGGCTATACACAGTCCTGATTTCAGTGATGCCGTATTTTTGAAAACCGGGTCTACAATGTATTATCCTTATCAGGGCTATATACAGTCCTGATTTCAGTGATGCCATATTTTTGAAAACCGGGTCTACAATGTTTTGTCCTTATCAGGGCTATATACAGTCCTGATTTCAGTGATGCCATATTTTGGAAAACCGGGTCTACAATGTATTGTCCTTATCAGGGCTATATACAGTCCTGATTTCAGTGATGCCATATTTTGGAAAACCGGGTCTACAATGTTTTGTCCTTATCAGGGCTATATACAGTCCTGATTTCAGTGATGCCATATTTTTTAAAACCGGGTCTACAATGTTTTGTCCTTATCAGGGCTATATACAGTCCTGATTTCAGTGATGCCATATTTTTGAAAACCGGGTCTACAATGTGTTGTCCTTATCAGGGCTATATACAGTCCTGATTTCAGTGATGCCATATTTTTGAAAACCGGGTCTACAATGTATTGTCCTTATCAGGGCTATATACAGTCCTGATTTCAGTGATGCCATATTTTTGAAAACCGGGTCTACAATGTTTTGTCCTTATCAGGGCTATACACAGTCCTGATTTCAGTGATGCCGTATTTTTGAAAACCGGGTCTACAATGTATTATCCTTATCAGGGCTATATACAGTCCTGATTTCAGTGATGCCATATTTTTGAAAACCGGGTCTACAATGTTTTGTCCTTATCAGGGCTATATACAGTCCTGATTTCAGTGATGCCATATTTTGGAAAACCGGGTCTACAATGTATTGTCCTTATCAGGGCTATATACAGTCCTGATTTCAGTGATGCCATATTTTGGAAAACCGGGTCTACAATGTTTTGTCCTTATCAGGGCTATATACAGTCCTGATTTCAGTGATGCCATATTTTTTAAAACCGGGTCTACAATGTTTTGTCCTTATCAGGGCTATATACAGTCCTGATTTCAGTGATGCCATATTTTTGAAAACCGGGTCTACAATGTGTTGTCCTTATCAGGGCTATATACAGTCCTGATTTCAGTGATGCCATATTTTTGAAAATCGGGTCTACAATGTATTATCCTTATCAGGGCTATATACAGTCCTGATTTCAGTGATGCCATATTTTTGAAAACCGGGTCTACATTGTATTGTCCTTATCAGGGCTATGTAAAGTCGTGATTTCCGTACCGCCATGTTTTCAAAAATGTCTTTCACGAAGGATTGTACTGATCAGGAGATTTTAGTCCTGATTTCAGTGATGCCATATTTTTGAAAACCGGGTCTACAATGTGTTGTCCGTATCAGGGCTATATACAGTCCTGATTTCAGTGATGCCATATTTTTGAAAACCGGGTCTACAATGTTTTGTCCTTATCAGGGCTATATACAGTCCTGATTTCAGTGATGCCGTATTTTTGAAAACCGGGTCCTGATAAGGACAATACATTGTAGACCCGGTTTTCAAAAATATGGCATCACTGAAATCAGGATTGAAATCTCCTGATCAGGACAATCCTTCGTGGACGACTTTTTGAAAATATGGCAGTACGGAAATCACGACTGTATATAGCCCTGATAAGGATAATACACATTGTAGACCCGGTTTTCAAAAATACGGCATCACTGAAATCAGGACTGTATATAGCCCTGATAAGGACAATACATTGAAGACCCGGTTTTCAAAAATATGGCATCACTGAAATCAGGACTGTAATCTCCTGATCAGGACAATCCTTCGTGAACGACTTTTTGAAAATATGGCAGTACGGAAATCACGACTGTATATAGCCCTGATGAGGTCAATACATTGTAGACCCAGTTTTCAAAAATATGGCATCACTGAAATCAGGACTGTATATAGCCCTGATAAGGACAATACATTGTAGACCCGGTTTTCAAAAATATGGCATCACTGAAATCAGGACTGTATATAGTCCTGATCAGGATTACGTCTTGATTTCAGTGATTCTAATTTTTGGAAAACCGGGTCTACAATGAATTGTCCTGATCAGGGCTACAGTCGTGATTTCGGTACTGCCATATATGTTTTAAAAATATTGGTTCACAAAGGGTTGTCCTGATCAGGTTCACAGTCCGGATTTCTGTGTTGCGAAATTTTGAATATACTGGGTCTACAATGGATTTTCCTAAAAAAATTTCCTTTTTGACCTAGAAAGTTTTGTTGAATAGGCAATAAAAATGTGCTGTTGTAGAATTTCACGTTACGAAGGATTGACTATTTGAATTGAAATTCTACTTTTCCCCGATGGGTTTTGTGAATCATTTGCTGCGGTTTAGTCAAATATTATTATGCAAATATAGTTTGTAAAAAATATGTCCAAAAATTGTTGCCAATTTTTAGAAAAAAATTTATTTGTGAAATCAACATAAATTGAAAAATATCTCTATAGATTATGATATTTTGACAAAAAATGCTTTTATAAGATTATTAGTATTAGTACTCATTTTTTTCAAAATAATTCGACACAGCTCATGAATTATGACTGCATATCCTGCAGCCGAAACAAGTAGAGCGCAGGGCCGCAGGATATCGTTTTTCTTTAAAAATTAATTAACAAACTCACAAAACCCATCAAGGAAAAGCTGCCGAGTTTAAATTCAAAAGACCATAAGAAAAGTTGCTTACAATTAAAAAATGTTTTTACACTCACCATGGGTATAAATCACATTGTCCTTAACTCCAATAGGAGCAAAAATCGCGTAATATTGTGTTTTTCAAAAACCCGAATTTTTATAAATTTTTAGATTATAAATTGTACCAGACAAGTCTCTCCTCATAAATTGACATCAATATATCGTACATATGTTTGATCAATTAATTCACTGAGCGGTTCTCAGATAAAAAAATTGAAGATTCAATATTCACATACTTCTTCGATCATAATCTTATAATCTTTTATTATATTTTCTTTCAGTTCCTTAAAATACGTACTTAAAATATAAATTTTAAAGCGGTTCATTTATATAATTGTATTTATTATGCAACAATGTCGGGTTGCAGTTCTAAAAACCCGCGTTTTCGCTTAAATTTAAGCCAACACCCCCACCCCCCCTAGGTTTTTTTGTTTACATTCCAACTGTCAGATGTAAAATCAAAGCAAATTTAAAATCTGACAATTCATATCGCACCTCTATATCTCTCCTCACATTCAATTACTTTAATTGGCATAGACCTTAATCAGAGCCGGTCAAGAGGTGCATAAATATGGCTGGAATTGCTGGAAACAATGTACAGCGAGTAAGTATGCATAATACATAATAGTGATTCGTGATTCATGTCAAAGATTCAAGCAAAAACACAAGAAATGTTTTAAGAATTTTGAAATCAAATTTTCAAAGCACACTTTTTTTCTTAATACATAATAATCATGTTATTCTTTCAATTCTTAGCTCCTAAAAACGGAAGGGTTGGAAGATGAGACAGTGGTAATTCTTCGTACTCCCCAGCTTCCCTCCGTAGATACCCTTTTGGATCTCACAATTGCTGAGCTGTTCTTGGCCCTGAAAATGAATGGAAGGAGAGACGCCAAAATTCAGTGGGGTAAGTTTTGAATTTCCATTTAATTTTAAAGAAAGGTCCTGAGTGTTCACTGCTAAGTGCTAAATTGGATCAGATAAATTTTTCTCATTTTAATATTGATCACTTGCATGATGGGAACAAAATACATAGTTACTGTAGAGCAAAATGTACAGCAATATAACGCGTGTAATAAATCCCCCTTAATTTGACTTCCAAAACGTCTTTTTTTCAAGATTTTAGCATCTTCTAGAAGTTTTGGGGAGCATGAGTTTTGAAATTTTGATAATTAAATTTTTTTTGTGAATGTAAGATATAAGTTGAATTGTTTCCAATATAGTCAAATTGTTATGAATTTATGTTGTTTACAGGCAAGATTCGTTTGGCCACTTCACTGAGAACTTTGCTGATTGGCATAAACAGGGTTGATCTGGAGACTAAGTTTCCATGCATGAACTGCAATCTACGCAAAGCTGAGTATTTGTATGAGATCTGCCGTCATTTCGGACTCTGCGCCCAGTGTCGCGAAAATAGATTGGACCTTGATGTTTGGCACACTGGTGACCAAAGAGAGGCCTTCTGCCAGGTGTGCCACCAGAAGCACAGAAGTGAGCAAATCTCAAAGGTGAATGTCATCATCAAAGACGAACACATTCATTTGTTTGTTTAGAGGGGTGTATGTAATATAGTTTGATGTGAATATAAGCCCCTCATTACAACGAAGTTGTCACTTGTTAGTATTTAAAGTATTTTCAAATGTGTCCAATCAAAATAAACGTCATAATTGTATATGTCCATGGATTTTTTAATAATACCATTTAACAGAAATAAAGTTGCTGTAACATAAATGTTATCAACAAACTTAAAATAAAATATGCACTGAAAAACAGCATCTCACACAGTTGTAAAAATGCAACTTAGGGATTCTAAGTTATGGAAAATCAACAACAGCTTTGGACACTTCAATTAAATTAATGTGATGGTTGACTTTATTATGTAGCCTGCTACTTTTGTGAGGCCACTTGCACATTTAGTTGCTTCATAATTTGTTGTGATATTACTTTAGTAGCTTCGGCAGCTTCAGGTATCAAAAACCTGAAAACGATAAAATCAGCATGCAAGACGTGCCTTAGTTTTCAATTCGTACCTGTCCATATCAGAAATTATAGGCTTATCTCCATCAGCAATGCCGTACTTGAACGTAATTAGGTCAGGATGCTTCTTCTTGGACGTGATTCGAACAATTGAAGACACTGGTCGTCGGACAGCAATATTTGCAAAGCCTTTACGGCCTTGGATATCTCGCAGCACATAAATGTGGCTCTCGGTCACAATCAGATAGCTACAAATACACAATTAATATTTGCTATCACAAATGTAATAAAAATACCTTTCATACATGTAGCCATTCATCTTGACCTCGTGACATTTGAAAGACTTGACAACATCAGGCTTTTTCAGCCACGTCTGGATTGCAACCACCTCTTGGTCGCCTTCGTCTTCTAAACTATGGATACTTGAAGCGTCTGTGAACCAAATAAGAAAATAGTCTCACAATTATCGAGAAAAATTACATTTGTTGCTCATTAAATCAGGTGGATATTCGTAAGTACCTGATTAATTGATAAGTAAATAAGGGTAAAAACAAAATTATTATTCACCTCCATCTTCATCATCAATGCTGAAAACTGGCGCCATGTTTCTGTACCTCTTGCCAACTTTGTCAGAACTCCGGACGTGCCTCTCAGCAGCCTGGCCGTTGCTCCCAGTTGGATTCACGATGTACTCAAAAAGTTTTTCTTTCACTTCGGCCGATTTACTTTTCATGGCCGCACTCAGTTTACCAAACAATTCATACGAACTAGTCGACGTTTGCATCGAATTGGTCATCTCTTCAACATTGTGAGTCTCCCTACAGCCAATGCAAATTTGCGGATTGTGATCGTCGAGCTTGATCACAGGATTCTCTTCGACCAACTGATGAATGGCTAAATTTTTTTATTAAATTCAGCAAGTTGATTTACTTCTGTCTAGACAAAGCTTACCCGAATAACCACCAGCAACCATACTGACACAGGTTGTGTGTTTTTGAAGGAAGGAGGCAACAACCATGTGTGTATACTGGTCTTCCTCCTCTCGACCTGAACCCAAAAAGCATAGGTGGTCTCCGCCTGCCACCGAATTCGACGCCAGCGCCTGTTGCTGCACCGCCAGCAATCCTTGCACTGCAGTGGCAAAGGTCGCAGGTTCTTGCAACATCTTGACACAAAAATTAAAAATTTAATTAAGTATTTACTAAAAAAATTACCAAGTTGCAGTCAAGGTGAAAGGCAGTGGGCAAGTGACCTCCATTGTACTGCTCGGCTGGTCGACAATCCACGAGGAAAAATTTGACATTTTCACCCTCAGGCAACTCGGGGTTAAAGACAAGGTCGTGGGCTGAAATGGGGAGGCAGAGTGCTTGGGAAATCCCCAACTTTTCACACGGAATGGGCGGCTCGGTGCCGAAGAAAGCATCGATCAATTCCTGTTAATTAAAAATTTAGAATAAACGAGATTAAATAAAATAAACTCACTGATCTAAAGGATGCAGGTGTCTTGGATGCATAGTACTGGGCCAAGGTGCAGAAGTCGGAGGTATCATCGGCGGCAATATCACAGGGCATCATCGAGAGTGCGTCCACAACTGTGGCTTTGGCGTCGTCTTTCATCGACAGAATCTGATCTCTGTTTGGCAGACTGGTTAGCAAAGTCACTTTCACTGTCAACAAACACATACCTCGCATTGACCAGCATAACCAGAGCCAAGAAGAAAATGAAAAAGGGGTCGGCCAGTTGAAAATAGTGATCCCACATAGTTAGCAGGGCCGGCAGATGACAATTGGACGCAAACAAGCTTTGAAACTGAAAAGAGGATTAGTTTGTTGAATTTGCATACTGATTTGTGTATTGTAATACCCATGGTAGACAGTAGAGATCTGGACTGACTCTCTTGGTGTCGAGAAAGGAACATAGCTCTGGATCATGATATTGAAGCAGCAGACGAAATAAATGGAATGGAAGTCCGTTCTTTTTGCATCCACTAAAAATGATGAAGCAAAATATAATTTTAAAACATTGTGAATGTCTAGACAGAAAACTTTATGAAGTGTTTGCTCTTAAAATTCTTCTTTATCTTTTCAAATTAAACATAACGCCTTGAATAAGCAACGACACTCTTGACGTACCGAGGAATGTACTGATGCACAATGGAGTCAAACAAGTTGTAGGTTTCAGCGCGAGGCAATTTCAGGGACAGCAAGGGAAGAAGAATTTCAATCCACCCATTTCCCTTCTCAAATTTGTTTTTTGTCGATTTGCAGTAGCAAGTGAGAATTGACTCCAGGTCGGATATCACAGAAACTTTGTCTTCGTCTTCATTCCCTAATTTGGCTGCAAATAAATAAACAACTGATGAAAATTTATTAAAATTTAAATGAAGATTTAACATACAAACTGCTTGCTGGCAGTCGGTTCTTAATGCACTCTGATCAGGTAAGTCGAAGATCTCGGAAAAGTGCAGCAAGGGGCTCTCTTTTTTCTGGACGCCAAGACACGCCTGCCACACCTCAGGCCGAATGGTCTCGGGGATCGTCCTGCCTTGGGCCATGCTCCAGACCTCCGAAGGTGTGCACTCCTCCAACAGAGCGGCCTCCAGCTCGATGACCCTGTTGAGAATCAATAAAATTTAAAGACGATTTTCTCCGGGTGGAGTTTTATGAATGATTCATGCGGAGCTTATTCACGGGAAACCTGTGCTTATCACTTTGATTTCTCGGACGATGAATGAAGTCGACGGAGACTTTAATAGTGTGATGTCACATAAAGGTTTACTTTTCACAGTTCATTACATAGAGGAAATCAACAGGGCCAGAAGATAAGGTTTTTATCACAAGTTATCTATATTTGTACACATGCGTGTTGCGTGTGGCCAAACGATAACGCAAGAGGTGGTTAGCGATTCGTAGCAAAAGGGTGGAAATGCGTAGAATCGCAAATTTCGCAACATGGAATTCTGCAGAAACCGCAATAACCACAACTGGAAAGTGCGAAATTTCTATCTGTGACAGAGGAATGCCACATTTGGCAAATTTGAGCGCCAAGAGAGAAAAATGGAAGAGGAAAATAAGATAGCTTTGAGAATTTGGTTTCAAGGAATAAGACCGCGAGCCAAAATCAACGTCCAGTGTTAGAAATTCAGCGAAATTTGCAAATTTTGACGTACCAAGAGTTGTCGTCATCTTCTTCACCTGCCATCTTTTTTGACAAATGAAATGAGCCTCCTCAGGCCACCGCTAGATGGCTCCGGCCGTCAAAAATACCCCCACAGGGCTCCCCCCACCCCCTTTGATGCTCGCCGAGTGTCAACAAACAGTCCAGGACCAATTATTGCATTCTAAAAGATAATTTTTTTATTTTTTTCGCCTCGGTATTTTAATAAATTGTTAAAAACAATTAGATTTTATGGAGATGCAACCTATTATTTCGTATTTCGTCTGCGTTTTGTCCATCCTCTTCATAAGATTTATAATTTTTCGACCTGAAAATGGTAAAAAGTTTTGATTCTGCGTTATTATTTTTCAGTATTTTGTGCTAATTCTAAATTCAGAAACTTTAGAATTGGAGGACCACAACCACCTTTTCCTGATCGGCATCATGTCTCGAAGGGAAAATCTGAAAATGAGGGACAGCATCCGAAACACTTGGGTTCGCAGTCTAAACAGCTCCATTGGCAAACACAAGTTTCTCATTGGCAAAGAGTTTTGTCCTGTTCCTCCTGTCGACAGAACTTCTGAATTCACATGTGAAGAGTGGACACCGAAAATCGCAAAAAGTATTAATACAATTTAAAATAGATAGTAATAATTATTCAAGTTTATAATCTTTTTAAGGTCTCTCAAGGAAAGACGCTTCCTACGAAATAGAATCCAGCAAAATAATTTTTAACTCCAGCCAAACTATGGTGAAGGACCTCAACTTCCAGGTGCACTACGACATAGTTATAAAGAGATTGTGTCTTTTGTCGGAGATAATCAAGTCGCACGCCCGGCTCAGTTTGATAAATTTGTCGACAAACGAGCGAGTCTTCACAGCATCTTTTTCTTCCGAGCTGGTGAATGAAAAAAAGGAGCTGTCAACCTGCAAACAGGTGGAGCCTTTCGTCTTTCCTAAAGGCTTTGAAGGCAAAATTGTGTTGTCGACGGATAACAACTTAAATCTAGAGAGCAGTTGCAATGTGATTCTCACTGACGACTCTCGCCTCCTTACTTATCGAAGTACAAGGAAAATGCTGGGAAAAGATTTTTGTGCTCCTTTCTCCATTACTTATCTTGTCAAAGGTACTAAAGTTAATTTTCATAATCAGTTTTTTTTTAATTTGCTTCAATTTTAGATATGGAGGGGCTGGAGAAATTCCTGTCCCAGAAGCAGCAGAGATATTTTGATTGGATGACAGAGCAAAAGCTTCTGACCTCACAGTTAATCTTGGAATCAGAAAGACATGATGACGTGATCCTCTTGAATGTGGTCGACGTTTATAGAAATCTGCCATCAAAACTTATTTCTTTTTTAAAATGGTAAAATCCCATTTAAAATAATGTAAATTACCAATTCATTTTTTATTTAAAAAAAAATATTCATAATTTTATTTCTTAATACAATTTTTTTCCAGTTATTTAAAAAAATTTAACCCATTAATTTTGAATTGTTTTTAACTAAATTTTAGGGCAGACAGACACACCGAGTATGAATTCATCCTAAAAACAGATGATGACACATTCATCGACACCAAAAAAGTGACCCAAGAACTTCTCAAACTCCAGGACACGAAAAACTTGATTTGGAGCTCGTTTCGAGAGTATTGGCCTGTCCAGTCTTCCGGCAAGTGGCGCGAGGACAATTACAATTCCCTGACGTACCCACCCTTTCCGTGCGGTTCCGGTTATGTTTTGAGTGCAGATCTGGTCAGCTACCTGGTCGACAACAACGAGGACCTGTTCAAATTCCAGGGCGAAGACACATCTGTTGGTATTTGGTTGGCTCCGTTGTCGCCGTTCTATAAAAATGACTGTTGGAAGTGCAGCGACTGCAATAATTTTGCTTGCAATCAGCCCCAGCTTACTGAAAAAGAGATGTACGATGCTTGGGTCGTGTATGAAAAGGAGGGTGCCATCCTCTGTTAATTTTTTATTAAACTATAATTAATACTACTGAATGTCTAGTCAATAAAATTAAGATTCATAAAAACTTGTGATTTAATTTTGTACAGTATGAAAAAAAATATGCAAATTTTACTTGCAAAATAATTGATCACCTTTCACTGGAAATTTAACTTATTGATCAAAAGTTAATTTTATCTTTTTGAATTGACTTATATTCATGGATTGTCAATTAATTGTAGGCATCAAATAAGACAAATAACTTAACCAAAATGTCTTGTCTGCGGTAGCTTTTATGTTATTGTCCCAGAACTCTTTGCAACTCGGATAATCTGCAAAGCGGAGAAGTAGACGACATGCTCCACAGGCTTTGGTAGATTCATTGCAAGTTCTTAAATCAAGGCGGAATATGGACTGCAATATGAATAAAATGAAGAGTGCATATTATCAATGGACACTTATTTGAAATAATTAAAATTTGGTGTGGAAAAAATATTAATATTTTGCAATTCATAATTGTTAACGTAGTTAACACCGATCTATCATAATTTATTTAGAAATTTTTGAAATTTTATCGAATAATATTGATTATTTAGATTGATTTTTATAAATAACAAAAAGTTTTGGAGACCGTTTATTTTTAATGAGATGTAAAATGATTATTTCAAAGAAAATTTCCCTGTGTTATTAAAATAAAAAAACTAAATCAACTAAAGAAATATTTTAATTCAATAATAACAGGACCGCGGTCTTGCATGTCGCTTGCGCGGTCAGCCCACCGCGGCCAGTTGACTGATTTAATTTGATTTTTTTTCATAAAATTAGGAAAAACCATAATATATAATGTGATCTCTAATATACAAAGGAGGCATTTATGGGATTTAAAATTAGTGCATCAGCCATTATAAGAGTAGAGTGTACAGTTGTAGAAGTTGTACTATAACTAATTAAAAATTTGTACTATTTTATAATCAAAGCCGACCGACCAATTAGCCGATCTATGTATATTACATGAGCATAAACATGTATTATGTAGTGGTTGTAATGTAAATGAACAATTTGAGGTATCTGAGATCTGAGCAGTGAAATGCTAGTAATGCTACCACCCTGCATTCTCTTCACACCAAGGCCAGCGACCAACGTCCCCTGACCTCAATGTCAGTCAATGTCGTTCCTCCTACTCCTCTTCCTCGATGCACCCTCAATTTCGTGATTATGCGCACTGCGAATCTGAATGACCTGTTCGCTGTAAATGTGTGTGGTGCCGCCTTACCTTGCCCTACCTGCCGACCCCATAGGCGAGATAACAACGGAAAAAGTAAGACTGACTTTTTCTTCTCTGAAACTTGCGGCATTTTTGCATCTTTGCACACTCAGCTCTGAAATTCGCGCGCTTCCGCAGCAATTACAGAGGTAAATTTTTATTTTAATATCATTTTAATACTAATAATTAAATTATTTATCTAAATTTTAAATTATTAACATTTTTTCGTGTGTATTATAGTCTGAACTAATACAGAGGACGATTTTACCTGGCGAGACCTCTCTTTTTGTCACCTGGAAATCATGGCCCATCAAATGCAAGTGAGTACTAAAAATAATATTCAACATATTATTATTACTCTTACTGTTTAAAGATTAAATTAATGCAATTTATTAACGAAATTCCGACAATGCTGACGTAAAATTCCAACAATTCCGAAGTAAAATTCCGAAAATTTCATATGTTATAACTTGGGTTTGGAAAAATTTAAGTAATCTTGAGATAAAATGGTTTGAATAACTGTGCAAGAAAGGACTTATACATTATAGGCGTTGATAAATTCTGTCGCGCGGAATGCATCTCAAGAACGCACCACACTTTAGTTCAATATCTCATTTTCCGAAAGGTTGTATAAATCGGTATAAATTAAGAATAAGTTTCATTTTGTTTAAAAACCAAATGAGAGGATCATTTTTTTATCAAGTAATAAAATTTTATAAATTAAAAACTTCAAGGAATTAGAATTTCGATCCCTGAAGTTCTTAATTTTTTTTTTAAGTACTCTGGATTTACTCAATCTTCTTAATTATAGCTTCTACACGTGGGACGACTGGATGAACGCACGGTCGATGTGCTTTGTGGAGACGACCTTCCGTCAGTTGAAAATTTGATTCCACTGCCAAAGCTGGAACTACAACTGACCTTGCAATTGAATCGCCAATCTCTCAAAAGTTCCTGGGGTGAGGAAATTACTATTGCCTATTTTAACCTGCAATTTTTTACTTTATTCTAAAAATAAATTATAAACAGGTAAGGTGCAGCTGGCTGATGCCCTACACAAGTTCCTGAAAACTGTGGACCGTCGTCGTCCTGATCAGAAGAAAGAAGAGACTCTGCCTCAGCTTCCTCCTCCTGATGTGAACAAAAATGTGCAGGCGCAGGCGGCTCCGAAAAAGCCGTCGGCGGCCATCATTTGCATGGTCTGCATCAACAAGCCAGTTGAGTACATCTTCACCCAGTGCCTGCACGCCGGCGTGTGCTCCATCTGCCGAGAAGGTCTGCTGGCCAAGGACAAGGTGCGCAAGCGAGACCTGAGGAAGACTGAATGTCCTATCTGCAGAGCCAAGCATGAGGGCTCCCAAATTCGGCGCCTCTTCGTCGTCAACCCTGATCAATGATTGTTGAATGATGCCAAGATTGATATGTCACGAGCTTTTAAATTTTACAGATTTTACCCTATAGCAAGTGATATATAATATTGGGCCAATTGGCCAGTCTACTCATTGCAACTTGAAACTGTCCATATTTCATGTTCATGCTCTACGTCATAAATTATACTATTTTACAGATTTTATAATATTGAAACAAATCAATTTGAATGTAAAAAATCAAATCAAAGGAATGATGTTGATGAAAATTATTTGAGCAGGTGGCCAATAATCAATCCTTTTTGAACCTGTATCTTTTTATAGAGTAAATAAATTTGCATAAAATATTTAATTTGGTTTTTTTTTAACTAAATTAGACAAATTCGAACATGATATTTATATTGTTTTCCCACTGATGTATTTAATTAATTTTATTACAATTTCTCTCCTTATTTGTAAAAACAGTTAAATTGAGTGCAAGACCTAATTAATAATTGTCAAATTTACAGCCATAATTTTATGATTTTCATCGTGATAGATTTTTTTAATAAGATGAAAAGATAGTTATTTCAACAGTTATCCAAAGGCTTTGGACCAAAGCACATTTAAGTCATTATAAATTATCACAAGGAATTAAGTTTGTGGCATAGTAATTTAAATTTTATGAACACCATTGATAATTTTTTAAGTGGTTTAATTATTTTAAAAGCAGCTAATTTGCGATTTCTGCAAAATTGGAACTAAATATTTTTTTTACGTTATTGAATTAAATTAAACTTGCCATATTATAATCCTTATTGATTGCAAAAGTATAACTGCAGGCTTTATTTCAGTGTCGGTATCTCCTGTTATTTGCGATTACAAACATGTAATAACATGTTTCTGGAGCCATCACAATCTAGTACATAAATAGAAAGATGAGGCAACTGACCTTGGCAAACTCAAGAACTTGACAAGAAAAGAAGCTTGGCGGTGGCGCAGGAGCTAAAATACATAGCAACTTTTCTCCCTCCTGTTCCTCATCCCATCTCAATGCAGGTCCCAACACGCAGCGTGTTGTGGTTTGGAGTTCAGTATGTTTACATTTTACAATACTCTTGAGGTGCATCATAAATCATAACAAAATTAGTTTCTCTCATTCTTAGTTCTTAGATTTGAGAGGAATACTGTGCTGTGTTTTTGTGGCTCAATGTTGCTTTTATAGCGTGACAGTTTATTATTCGAGTGTGCGAATGTGAAATAGCCGAGTCTCAAGGCCTAAGTTAAAAGAAAACACCGTTCAAGGTAATCTAATAATCTTTATATCTATGTACTGTTCAGGTACTGTTATGGTTACTTAAATTAATTTCAATGCAATCCAAACAATCACACTTATATTTTTTTTGCTGCAGATTTTCTATCTGTAAAACTTATAAAAATTGCGCGCCATCCTAAAGATATTATCGAGATGTTACATTTATTTTCCGCCTATCTATATTTGCAAAATTTCTATGTGCATGTCAAACATTGATAATTAATTGTATAAATTTATTACTTTAAAAATTCAATTTTTCAGAATTTGACGATGTAAAATATAATTATTGAGTTTTTAATATTAAACTTATCGATTGATATGTATCTATAATTTTTTTTATCATTCTCGTTATGTTACAATTGTTGATACAAAACTCTTTTCCTGCAATGTTTTAATATAAACTAATTCAATTTTGTGAGCATCGTCACTCCTATCCTCGTCCAGTGTCCAGCAGCGTTGGCGCCTGGGTTGAGCGGAATGTATAATAAGGGTTCATTTTCGCAATTTGTGAAAACAGGGCACAAGAAAAAATCTGCGGAAAAATTAAAACTCTGCATAAAGTAAAAATAGACTTGAAAAATAAAATACCTTGGTAGTCAGACGCAAAAACAAAATTGGATGGTCGCATTATAATGTGCGGCATAGGGCAGTGCAAATTTTTGTTCACGGTCTCACTCAAAAAATTATTTTCGTAGTCCCAGGTTGCTCCATTGAGTAGAAGTCCTTTCAGCAAAATACCAGGCTGAAAAATTATGGATTTAAATTAAAATTTAAAATATTTATAACTTTGACAGGAATATAAAAAAAATACTTCTAGATTTTCTGCTGCATCCTCAGATCTTTCAACATTTTTTTCGTTAACTATATCGAACGTCCAATTCATCGTTATGACGTCGTAAAAATGCTTACTGAAATCCTAAGTAGACAGTTTAGAGAAATATTAATTTGATTATTAATTTATTTTAAATATTTTTACCTGTTTCAAGGCTGAGAGGAATGCTTGCGGATTTTGTAGCGTTCCCAAATTGACTTCAAGCCGCGATTCGCTTTGTATTTGTGATAAAATCGAGCACAAACTGAAAAATCTATATTTGAGCTCCGATGCTCCCTTATGCAAATCTCGAGGAAAGATTCCTTGAATAAGATATAATTATTATTAAAATTTTGGAGAAAAAAAATAATATTTTACTTTTGTATTGATCAGGCAACCATTGCTTCGGGAATTCAGATTTCTCCAATAAATGTGAGGCTGTGATCATGGAAGGGTTGAATTCAAGGGAGCCCAACATTCCTAATTTCAATTCATTTAAATGATCACAAAATGATGACAGAACGTGGTTTTTTAGCATTGAAATCTAAAATAATTAAATTTACATTCAAGATTTTTTTTATTATTAAAGATTTGTACCTCATTCGAAACGTGTATGCAGATTTGCCTCCATTGGTCTTCTTTGCAAAGACTTAAATCAAAATCCATTTGCCCCAGTAAAATCTCAACTTTTCTTATTTTTGCCTTTTTTCAAATAATATTGTTGTTCAATGAAATATTTCTTATTTAATTAAAATTTACTTTTGTTATTCTTGTGAAGAATTTTTCCAAGACTTGACCTTTTAACGTTTTCAAGTCAGTTATCAGGAGCTGACTGGCTTTCAAGTCGCTTGCGTAGCTCGCATTTATTGCAAAGAGCTGTTCATTTCCAGAAATCCTCAAGGGCAGGTTTGATAGCACGAAAGCATCTCCGTTCTCATTTAAAATCATTTGTAGAGAGCTAAAATTAAGGGAGAAAAAAATCAAAGGTTGAGATATTTAGATAATTTTTCAAACCTTTCTTCAGACGAGATTGTAAATGCATGTTCCCAAAGAATTTCACCACTTAAATCAGCCAATAATTTCCGGTCAAAATTTTCAGTCATGCGACTCAAGTATGCAAATTCAACGGCCCAGTCCAACCATTCCCTTCTGATCAGATTTGAAAAACTTTTGCCAGCAAAATGTTCAATCAATCGCAAAGAAACCTGAAATTAAATAAGATTAAGAACCTAAACTGTGTATAATGTGGATATTTAGAAGATCATACATTAAAATCAGTGTCGGAGAAATCATATCGGTTCAGAAATTCTCCTTCTTTAATCCACTGTCTGCCTAGAACGGTCGTGTGCAGCAGTGCCAAATTCCAAGCGTGTTGGGCAAAAGAAAGTGGCCAGTTTTTTATTTGCAAAGTAGCCAAAATTCTTTTCATGGTGTCTGGAATGTTCTGGATGGAAATTGTAAATTAAAATGAAAATGTTCAAGCTGCATAATCCCAACTTTAGGTTTCTGAATCGTGATTAGAGAAAATCTCTCTTGGCCATTGGTTTTCACAGGAACTTCATGATCCATAAGAATCCATATCCTATTTAAAAAAATTTAAGCTCTTAATTCCATAGTAATTTCGTCTATATTACCTGAAATTGTCATTTGCCTTTTTATTTGTTGAAACTTGAAGTAAATTCTTTGCTTCTTGCGCCGTTGGATACAAAATTAGGAACCATATTTTATCCGTTCTCTTCGCATCAATTAAATCTCTGCATAATCGTTTTTTTTTTAGATGTCATACTTTAAACTAAATTATTTTTACCTCAGATTATGAAATTCCCGAAAAAGAAGGATAATCTCTGCTTCGAATGGTTTACTAATATTTTCTATTGCCGCCACAACATCCACAGTTGGATCTGAACGAACCACTATAAAATCCCCTGCTGCCGATTCCGTTACCTGAGAGAGCAAATCGATTTCTGGCAGTTTCAAAAACTCTTCTCCGATCCTTTTGGACACAAACTCAGAAATGCATTGGCAAATTCGGTCCGGCCGTAAAGCCGCGATAAGCAGAAGTTTCAGTGACGGAACTATCGCGTCACATACACCTATTTTTTAGCAGAAAATGTTGTATGCAAATTGCCAAACATAAGTGCACAGCCGGTTGCATAGTTGCAATTCGACAGGCGCTCACCTGGCAGATCCAATTTCTCCGCGTACTCGCATCGGACCACATATTTCCACTCTTCCTGGCACCGCAGCAGCTCTTGAGTTAAATTTGAAAATCCCAATCGCTCCAAATTTTTAACATTGACCCAAGCAGCATCAGATATCCATTCTAATTTTACAGTTAATTATTCAGTAATTTAAGAGTACAGTTTTTAATGATAAGTTTACTGGTCTTCAAAATCGAATTTTACCTATTTGCTTTTCCAAACACTCATCAGCGACCAATTTTATATCATTTACAACGTAATCAACGTATTTTTCAAGTGGAGCGTCCCCAGAATTTTCCAGAAATCCCAGACAGATCACGAAGGAGAAGAGAATTCTGTGCTCCTCCTTAAATCTTGAAATGTTTGATCTGAAATATAAATACAATTTATTATGAATTTTAGTGTACAATGTAAAAAATACTTGTAAATATTCAGCATGTGTTCTTGGACTATGTTGTCCCGTCGTTTCGGAGACAAGCTTGAGGAAAGCTTTTTCGGAATGGAAAATTCAAAGTTTTTCACGAATTTTTCCAGTAAAATGTCATAGGTTGAATCAATTTTTCTGAGTTTCCTAATCATCAGATAAAACGAAGCAGCCTGATTGCACATCTGAACAAAGTACTACATTTTTTGCCTTCTTGATTAAAAAAAATTGAATTCAATTTTCAATGTTACATGTCTATGTTGGTTTATATTTTGCTCCGTCTCATGAAGAGAAGCGAGCCTTTTTTCTGTTTCCGCAAGAGCAGCTTTTGTATGTTCAAGATCTTCCATTGCGACTGTCTCATCCAAAAGCGTTCCCTTACAATCCAGTATTGCACTTAGATTCAAAATTAGTAAGATTTTATGATTTAAAATGTTACTCAAACTTACTTCAGTATTTTTTCATTCAGCATTTTAAGGTTAGAACTTTCGATAATAATTTTATTTGCAACTTCAGCTCGCTCAGCCTCTAATACCTGATTTTCCTTCAGCATAAATTTGTTCAGTAAACAGTTTTGCAGCCCTATTAAATCCAAATTTACGGTAATTATTTGTTCAAAGTCATTCCATTTTATATACACCTTCTAATTGACAGGAAAAGTCAACAACATTGAATCGTGAGGCAATTGCAGCGTGGTTCTTGATATCCTCGACAGTTGTGACAAATATGACCTCAAATGCCCCTTCATTACAACTAGTTTGATCAAAAACTTGGACTCCTTCAAACAAAAATATAAAAATATGAGAGTAATAATAATTAATTTAAATATTCATTATAGTTTACCAGATCTTTTCATTTTTATAATTTTTAAGACAGCAAGCAGCATGTGACTTATTGTTAGTTCAGAGTCAATGCCTGTTATGATTATGGTTTTTCCTAAAACCATTGCGTCTTTCATTTTGATTTCAAGTTTTTCATCCTCACTGATTGCAAATACCAATAATTCATTATCCTGGAAACATTTTAAATTGAATCAATCGAAGAGCATTGAACATAAATATTTTTATTTTACTACAGATTCCTTGAGCCACGCTATCCCCAAACCTTGAGGATCTACCATCAGAACAGGTCGTTCTTGAAACCTGACAATACCGAGACCTCTCACAATTTTCACACTTTGTTGCAAATATGAATCTTCTGGTAGTTTTTGCAAAGTCCATTTTTTAAATTGCATCTCTTCCTCATCACCCACGTTGTTTGAACGGTCGATTTTTAATTCATTCAACTGGGAAATTTAGTTATAATTAAAACAAAAAATTTTTATTGGATTAGAGCAAAATACCAAAGTTGAAAGAATTTCATCTGCGAATTTTCGTTCCTCTTTGTTTAGTGGCCCAAAGTAGGTGTATTGAATAGCAAGTACAATACAATCACCATAGAGAGTTTTCAAATTTTGTTCGTGATTTTTTTCAAAGTCAATCCAACTCTGCTCTTCCTCGGATAAACTAGTCAAAAGGTCATTCGCCCTTTGTAGCTCAACTGCCATTTCCTCGACCTAAATTTATTTATTTAAATTTTTTGTGTCTGCCAATATATAAGGCTGAACCTTTAAATCAAGAATTCTTTTACTCTCCAAGCACTTCTCATGTTCCTCCTTTTGCTTATCAAGTTGCATCTCGAGAAATTTCATTTTCGTGGCTGTGTCCGCCAATTCGCCGTGGTGCTCCCTCAGCTCTTTGACGGCACGTTCTAGTTTTGACCGTTTAGGAGCAGCGGCTCTTTGGTATGAAAAGAAAATTTTTTAAACGATTCATTTTCAATAAAATTTGGTAAACCTATAGAATTTTCCATATTTCTCCATGGCCAGTACCCATTCCGCCAGAAATTTGGCCCCTTTTGAAATTGCCTCGATTTTCTCCAAATCGAATTCCTCGTTGTGCGTAATGGAGGAAACGCTTTTCCATATCTTTTCGGGGACGCGGTCTCTTTCAAAATCAAGCAGCTGGCCAAATTTTGATATTTATTTACACTTCAAATATTATTGATTTAAATTAAATTATAAACAATATTTTATTTAAATAACCTAAAAATTTCACGCTAAAATTAAAATTTTATAGTTTGTATTTAACCTGGTCTATGAATTTCGGGTCTGCCAGTTGCCTTTTGGCCTCGGCCCACGTCGGGTCTGCCTGTTTCATGATCATCACCGCCGACGTGACTAGCTCAACAGCCGGCGGCGGCCTTCCATAAGACCGCAAAGTTTGCAAATCCATCGATTCGATCGAGTCAAGCGCAAAATCCGCGTCCTCCAAGTACGGATTTGCCTCTTTCATGGCTTGATGGGCGAGTCGAGTCAGTTGTTGGACGGCGGCGTCCTCTTGTTCAATTTGCTCCAGCTTTTTATCGTGAAGAAGTTTTTGCTCCTCGACTTCGCGCCGACGCTGCCCAAGAGTGACCAAAGCAGTTTCGCATTGACGTTGGCTTTCCACAACTTTTTTATAGGAATTAAGAGATTATAATATTTTAACATTAAACTTTCTGACCTTTTCTTTGCGCTTGTTGAAGTGCTGCAGACATGTCTGCATATTTCTTAGTGGATACTGTCATTTGTTCCACGGCACTTTGAAACTTTTCTCTAAATTCCTTATGTTTATTTTCTCTCGAGGCCAACGTTCTTCAAATTTAATAAGATAATTAAATAAATTTAAAAGATTTTTTCATACTTTTCGAAAATATTCAGACATTCAAACAAGTGAACTAATGTGATTTTCACACTCCACTTTTTGTCCTCAATTTCTGCGGCAATTTTAAAATGGAAATTGGAAAAGCATTTTGAAATTTGCTCCCTCTTGTCCTCCTGTTAAAAATATTAAATTTAAGCTGTTTTATCTAAAATAAATCTTAATCACCATCAAGCCAAACTGAATCCTAGTCAAGTATTTTAAACAAGCTTGCTCAAGAGTATTTCGAGTCCAATTTTTCAGAACAATCATGTTCCACTTCAACATCGCTGGATTACCGTAGAGTAAATCTCTGTCAAATTTTTTATTTTATTTTAGCTAAGATCATTTTAATTTAAATATGTTTTACCTAAGATAATCTTTGTCGGTAGAAACATTCACGGCGAGTCTCAAATTTCGAAGCATTTCTTGCGCCAGGAATTTTCCAACGTCGCTTTTAAAACTTCCCGGCACTTCAGAGCTCAACTAAAAAAAAATTTGGTTAAAATTTTACTTGTTATTTATACAATTACTGTACAGACCTGATCAAGCTCTTCATATGTGAAAAGGTTTGAGACAATCCCATTTTCAGATAGTCCATATAGGAAGTCAAAAATTCTAGGATTCAAAACCTAAAAGAGCGTTTTTCACATACAAATTTATATTAAAAATGTTATAAAAATGGCTTATTTATAAAATAATTACATTCTCGCTATCAATACAAATGACGATTTTTTCCTTCTTAATAGCAACTCTCTGGACGATTGATTTCCAAAATGTTTTGTGCACTCCAGAATCACAAACTTCAATGTCCCTTAAATCCGGCTGTTCAAACGTCAAGCCGCAAATTTGAGCAGCAAACTTGACAATAGTTTTTCGACCACTTCCAGCTGTTTCAATAAGATTGTTAAGTTCAAATTTTATTTTGCTCTTAATTATACCTTCGCCAAGTAAAAGCACGTTGTGGTTGGATTGTTGAGAAAAAAGCCTAACCAGATTGGTAATGTGGTGAACCGTGTCATGCAGAATTACGAGGTCCACTTTCTGCACGCCGCTTGCAGAACAGATTTGTTTATCGAGCAAATCGTCCAATCGCGCTGTGGCGCTTTCTAAGGTGAACTCAATCTGGGCACCAATCTCGTCCTCAGCGTCACTGTACATTCCTATCGATTTCAAATTTCACATTTGACACATGAACTGTTCATTAATATTTTGAACTCGTACCGATGAGGGGCATAACCTTCTCAGGATACAAATCTTCGTAAGTCAAATTCGTCGAATTTTTCAAATGAAATAAGGCGTCTTCTAGAACTGCATCTTTAAGCCTAAAAATTATTCACAGAAATTTTTAATTTTGCACTTAAATTTAATTGGAAAAGTCTAAGAATTGAAACTGTGTGGAATTTTCATTTTTATAGGGATAACAAAATGCACAGTCATTTAAGTGCTTTCTAATTTTTTTCTAATTTCGTTTCGGCTATGAAAATAACATAAGCGCGTCAATAAATTTGACATCTCACCATTTGCGAAATCAAATAACATTGGTTCTTATGACAGCTTCATCTTAGAATGATTGAATCTTTTCAATCCTAAGACATGTTGTACAAAATGAAAAATAAAAAATATTGGCGTTGGAAAAATCAAAATTGGTTCAGCGTGGGGCTGTAGTCAGGCGATCAAAGATTTGTAAAGTAGGCAATCGAAGCCAATTTTTTGAGTTTTTACAAATCTTTGATCGCCTGACTACTGCCCCACGCTGAACCAATTTTGATTTTTCCAACGCCAATATTTTTTATTTTGCATCTACTACAACATAACTTAGGATTGAAAAGATTCAATCATTCTAAGATAAGGCTGCCATAAGAACCAATGGTATTCGATTTCGCAAATGGTGAGATGTCAAATTTATTGACGCGCTTATGTTATTTTCATAGCCGTTTGTCTTCATAAAGAAAACAAGTTTTTTAAAGAACCCTACCTTTTTTCTGTCATCCTAGCACCGTATGCAAGGAGAACTTCATTGAGCCACAAACGACACATTTTTATCAGCGTGTATTGCTGATTTTTGTTACTGAGATTCAACCCTTGCATAACCTGTCGGGAAAAATTAGAAATCAGAAGCAAAATTTTTTAAACTCCCAACCTGAGACAAAGATTTCAGGCTAAACACGCACTGCGGGTTGTCTAAATTTGCAGTGACGTTTTTCCTCAGAGATTTGTGCAGTTTTACTGACGATTCCACAAGTTGCTTCCCTGTACTTAAATTAATTTAAATGACCAAAAATTAGTTTATTATACCTAAGCATTTGATGTGTTCACTGAAACCTAATAGATGTTGACTAATTATTGAAGTGAAAACGTGAACCAGCTCGTCTGTTTTTGGCTCGGGAACGTTTATAATCGCAAAGTGGCCTTTCGTTCGCTCGTCCAATTGCATGTCTATTCCTCTGTGACTCATTGAAATAACAAGACTAATGTCCTGTTTTTTTTTTTAATAAAAATATTTAGTATCAATTAATTAAATAAATCAACAAACTTCTATTATTGTCGGTTGGAGCTCTTCGTTAATCCAAAACCTGTGATTGAGCCATTGCCGAATTATTTCCACTGTTGATTGATTCCCGAATTCATTTTTCTCAGCCAGGTTCAAGTCCTGAATATACAGCACCAACCTTTTTGCTTTCAAAAAATTAAGTGCAATTTTAATTAAAGAAAACCTTTTTCTTTTCATAAACAAAATTACCTTTTCTGTGTGAAAGAATATTTTTAGATCTTGGCTGTAGCAAATCGTGGACGGCCTTCATCAAAATGTTCTTATTCAACTTTTACATGCGTAAAATAAATCAATTGCTTATATTTTTAATCTTATCTCTCAAATACCTGTTTTGTGCCGCTCACTTTTAGTGTATAGAATTCTTCATTGTCAATATTTTTGATAATCTGGTCACAAAGGAATGATTTTCCCATTCCAACATAGCCACTGAAAATCAAAGGACTTCTTTCCTCAATGAAAATATTTGCCAGGTATTTAAATTTCGCGATTGAGTCCGTCGGCACCACTATTTCGTGGAAGGGAGCACTGAAAAAGTAAATTTTATTGAGTTTATTAAAAGATGCATGACAAATTTTAAGGTAAATTTTCTTTGCTTGTTTGTTCAGTAGTTTCTTGGATTGAAAAAGAAATATCATCGTGCTCTATATTTTCCTAGCAAAATTCATAAATTTAAATTATTAATTATTTTGACAAAATAAATTCGACTCAAATTTGTTACAAAAAAAAGACTCGCTGAGAAAAGCAAACTTTAAATTCAGATTAAATTTAATGAAGTTTATTACCCTGTCTCGTATTTCCAAACCCTGGGTAGCTGTGTAGACCACTTTAAAAGTTTTCTCCTCTTGGAATCTACAAAAAAGTCAAACACCAATCCGTCTTCTGGGAAGATTCCACTTTCCAAAGAGCGGACAAATTTGTCTATTTCCAAATGAGACTCTTCTGCAGAAGCTCCAAATACTCCCCATGTGACACTAAAATAAATGAAAAATTACCAGAGATTAATTAAATCTTAAGATTAATACCTAAAGTAGAACCAGTATTTGGCTAGAAGAGTTGTATCTTTTTCCCCATTGAGTTTTGGGCTTTTTGAAATCAACGAGCTCAAAATCGAACACAAATTTTTAGCGCAGGCGAGTTCATTTTGAGCTACGATTTCATTGCAATAGGAATTTTTAAAGTCGAAACACTTTTGCAGACACTCTGATGCTAAAAGTTTCAACTAAGAAGAAATTAAAAATTATACTTCGTTTTAATAAACTCTTTCTTTAATACCTCCAGTTTTAAAGGAGTGTCATCAAGTTCCTCCAGCCAGGGCATTACTACTTCTGGCCATCCTATTTGTACTTCTCCAAAATAAATCGAGATAATTTCACTGAGCGAACTTGGCGATAATAAATCCAAGTCTTGCGTCTCAAAAATTATTTTCAACTGCGGATCAGGAAAAGTAATATATTTTTTTTTAATTTATAAAAATATTACTTTCTCCAAACTCAAGTCAATGTCGCTATTTCTCAGACAATATTTGTATTTTTTGTTCAACATTCCCTTTAACTCGTCCAACCAAGTATGGGAAAGAGTTCCATCGAAACACATCCAATGAGTTGATTTACTTTTCAAAATAGCATTCGCCATCGTTTCTATCAATCCAGGCTCCCATCTGCCATTTTTCTCCCTTCCGAAAATTTCGTCTCTTGTCAGCGAGTTTGGATTTATTGTGTGAACCTATTGAAAAATTATTTTTCTTAATTAATTGAATAATTTATAAGCTAAAAACCTTTAAAGTTCCGATTTGTGGAAGCTTCATTTTTTCCAAAGCGCACGCAAGCATTCTTAACAAAGTCGTCTTTCCCGTTGCAGGACCGCCGACCAGAGCAACGCACTTGTTTTCTTGAAGAGCGGCAAAGACCTTCAGGCCCAGTTCTACTTGTAAGGTAATCGGCTAAAGATTTGAAATAAAATCCCGTAACAAAATAAAATAAAATTTTGTACTATCAATTTGTGGGCCCTAAATGTAGATTCAAGAGCTTCTTTCAATTCAACATTTCCAAACTTCATCAATTCAATTCCGGGAAAAATTTTCGTCACGTAGTAGTGAAATACTTTTTTGTCTTCCTCGTTCAGTTGAGGCTCAATATTGGAAACAAGCGAATATAAAACAGCCTAGCATTAAAAGATTACAAATAATCAAGTTAATAAAATATTCCGTGCCTCTTCCTCGGTGAGATTTGAATGAATTTGCCTCATTTGAGACGAGAACTTTGCAACCCTGATGACACTGCAGCTGTTTTTGAATATCCAGTTAGCGTTTCTGCTCAAGTGCATCGCGCAAAACATTTCCATTTGATTTAACTGAAAATTTAAATAAAATAAATGTTTAAAGATTAAATGGAAGTTTCAATCAACCTTAGATGCCAAATTCTCTGCCTCTGTAAATCCTTCTCCTTTCAATATCATTTCAATAATTTTGCAGGAGTCCAGTTTGTTCAAAGCGATCGGTCGAAATAATGCTCTCAAAGTGGCTGGAAGCACTGCCTCATTTTTCTCATCTAGAACAGATTAAATTTTTACAGTACATATAAAAAATAAAATATTCTTACTGTTTGTCAACGACAAAAATATTGCAGGCCTAATTGTAAGCTTTTGAACTGAATTATCCTCCTCAATCTCAACAGACAATTCTTTTTTCAAAATCTGGGCCAAGTTGTAGGAAATCTCTTGAACAACACTTGGATGCATATTGACGAAATTTTTAAACACTCCCCAAGCTCCAATTTTCTCCACAACTACCGATATTTTCATACAATTATTTTAATTCTTAAATAAATATAAACATTAGTACCTGTGAACGCCAACATAACTTTGGTGACAATTGATTCAGAATTGCAGCAAAAGGGCAGAATCAAACGGCCGAGGATTTTGGCCAGGCCTTGGATTGTTTCAAATTTCCCGCAGGCCGCCGGTCCTTGGAGAGCGACAGACATTTTTAGATGTAAAGCAGTCGTCATGTGAATAATGCATCTAAAATTTTATAATGAAATTTACCATAAAATATGCAACGTGCACATCTTTACCTTTCCGTCTCGGGCGTGATAACTGGCAAGTAGGGGTCACCGTAAATCTGGTATCCGTAATTAAAAGAGGAAAACATTTGACGGATTAATATTTCTCCACTCTCGTCGTCGAAGTAAAACTTCATCAGGGACATTATATCAAGAGATGTTGGCTCTATCCAATCTACCAAAAAAATACTGTTTGCTTGAAAAATTGTATTTAAAAATAAAAATCCTATACAAGAAATTTTTGGAAATTTTTACCATTTTTGATCAGTTCGTTTGTTTTCTTGAGTAGAAATGTCTCGTAAGTCAACAGTGCAGTCATTTTCAACCGGTCCTGCACGGAAAGGCTTCCTGCAAGATTTTCGTTCAATCTCGAGATGAAATTTTCCTGTTCCTGCCGCATTAGTTTAAGCGGCTTTCTTGATTCGTTCCGCAAGCATTTTTCCAAAGCTTTTTCAATTTCACTTGTCCAGCTTATCTGTTTTTAATTTATTTTATTATTTTTTTTTAAATATTAAATTTTTTACTTGAACGGCAAGAATCAGAGTTTGACCAGGAAAAGCTTGAATCCATTTGTCACTTTTGCTCGGATTTTTCACTAAACCAGCGCAGCATCTGACTTGCAATGCCTGCAAGGCATCTTTCATCATTTCACCTTACAAAAAAATTAATAGTATTTTTTTAAACAAGTTTTTTTTTATAAAATTTCTGTCTACTTAGGGATTCAATCGCCTCGGATATGTTGTCGCTAATTTTGGATAACTCGTTGAATAGCAAAATTTCGCCACTCGGACACCAAAATCCTAACACCTCGTTCACCTTTCATATTTTTAAGTTATTTAAAATCTATTCTAAATACAACTTAATTCATACTTGTCGACCAAACTTGAATTTGGAAACACCAGGGAAAGACTTTGGAATCATTTTTTGATAAACATCGCCTCCGAAATTCGGATAAAGGAAAAGTTCCAATAGTTCCTCGCTGGTGAGGAAAAACAGGCGAGGCGCTTCCAACACCCTATTTTCTATTTCAATTTGAATTTCTACTTCAGCCTCATCCATTTGAGCCATGAGTGTAGATAATTCTTGAAAAGAGCCTTTAAAATAAATTAGAGTTGCTGAAAATATGATGTAAAATTTTAATCAAACCTGGATCTGCAATAATTTCAAGAATGTTGGTCGAGGAATCGAGTCTTGACACGATTTTACTCCATGAGAGTGTTAATTTTTCAAATGTGGTGTCAATTATAAGTTTTTCATTAAGGGCAATTTGAGGCTGAGAAAATTAGAAAAAAAAGGATTGAATTATTTTATCAATCATAAAATTCTAATATCAAATTATATAATATATTTTTAATAATCCTACTTTTAAACGGAAAAGGCGCTTCTGGATTTCATCAGTATCTGTCAAAAATTGCAAACTTTTCACTAGTTTGTTTTGCCAATTTTTCAGTTCGCTATTAAACGCTTGTCCATTCCTAATTTATCGTTCAATTAAATTGCTTATTCTACATTATAAAAATTCCATTTTACTTTTTTGCCTCCATTATTGCTATTTTGTCGAGACTAGAATCAATCATTTCAAACACAGGATCCAATTGCTGGACAGTGGCAAGATCGTTTTCCTCAAAACAAATCAATATTTTCAGATCGTGCCAATCTAGTTGCAAATCCTGAAGCCCTTTCTCTATAACTTGCTCCTCAATTGCTTGCGCACAAATCACTTTGATCTCGTCCTCAAAGTTTGACAAACCCAGCTCCAATATGAATTTCAGCGTAAAATTCAAAGACGTCGAGTTGATAGGCCTTTCGAATATTATTATTTTTATTGAATATAATTAAATTATAATAAAATAATTACTTTCCGATGACTTCCTGGACCATTTTCCAGTGTCGTTCTCGCATTGATGAATTCTTCAATGTGCACACGATAGGCAACCCGTGCTTCAACTGCTCAACTTCCGCCCTTGTTTGCTCAACAATTTGCCATTCTCTAGCCGCACTATTGTGCACTTCTTTCAGTGTTTCCGATATATCTTTAATCTGAAATAATTTCAATCTAGTTAGCCACGAAAGCAGCATCTAATTTGGAAAAGTCAAAATAGTTTAAAATAAACTGCTTTAATTTAAATTATACAAATCGCTTAAAAAATAACATATTGTCCATCCGTTGCTTTAACAAAGAGAAAAGAAAACCTAAAAAAAATCAAGATTTTTTAAAGCAAATTAAATAATTATTTCTCTCCTGATATTTCGATTTTATATTTTAAGATAAAACGTTTAATGCCCTTAAAAATTAATTGAACCACCTTTGACTGTAATTGAAGAATATCTAATTTGTCAAAAAGACAGTTATTGTACACGTTGGAACAAGCAAGCCATTCTCTTCTAACGACCCAAATCTGCTCAAGCATTCGGACCGTCTACAAAGTAAGAAATTTGTCATAAATTTATTTATTTAAAATTACATAATAATTATTTCAACCTTATCAAGCTTTTGTAACTCTGCAAGTTGTGGCGGGTCGACTCCGAAAATGTCAAACTCATTGATCAGTTCCTCCTTGTGCTTCTGTAGGGCACTTACTTGTGATTTCACATCTCTCAAAAATTCAAAAGCACCTATTTTTAAAATATAATTTTAAAAGAAAATTCTAGATTGATTCATTTCTTACTATTTTCCTTCCAGTTTGTTTGGAATGGGCCTTCGTCTTTAACTTTATTGCAAAGCTTGCTGAGATCCCTGTTCAGCGTATTGCCTTTCTCAATCATGCTTGTTCTGAATTTGTCCTAAAAAATAATTTTTCGATCAATTTCCCAGAAAAATGTGTGTTCAATACTTTGCTTTTTTCAAGAGATAATTTTGCATCATTCAGAGCCAGCAAATATTTTTTCCAATCCGCGTTGTTATTTACGTCCAGTTGAGAAAGCTCGTCGGGAAAATCTACTTTGTATTTTTCTAATTATAAATAATTTCAATTAAACTAAAAAATTAATTTCAAGCTTAGTTTACGTAAAATTGTACAATATTCATTAAATAATTCAAGAGTTGATTTGATTTCTGGCATGTGCACGGCCACCAGTTGGCAGAAAACAGTTTTTTCAGCCACCTCTTGAAGTGACTCTGGTTCGTGATTCAACCTGAAAAATAAATAATTTATAATAATTTATTAATTAATATTAACTCCGCGTGCCTTTTTATATCATTGCAGAGTTGTTTACTCAGCTTTGTTCCGTTTTGTACCGCAGAGTTGAGAACAAAATTAACCATCGCGGTTTGCCAAGATTTTGCCAAAATTAGAATCGTCTCTTTGACGAGTGCAGCGTCCAGTTCGACAAAAGCGACGGCTGAGCACGTTTGGAGATTCGCTACCTCCAAAACTTGAGAAAAACTGAAATTTTTGGTAAACAAATGGAATTAAAAATAAAATACAACAAAAACCTTTCGAGGTCTTGAGCTAATTCTGACGCGCTTTGCGTTTCGTAATTTTGCAGAAATTCCTCAACGTCAACGTCCCAGAGCCACGAAAA